CCAATGTACGGAATAGTGATTAGAGGATTATTTTTGTGCACTTTTATATTGTTCTATATTGCTATAATACAGGTAATAGTGCTTAGGGAACCACTTCTGTTCCCTGTGACAGTATTTTATATAGTGTCCAATGTAGGGAAAGAGTGATTAGTAGAACATTTCTGTTCACAGTGATAACACTATGATCACTATTTCCCTCACTGATGACTATGTAAAGCACCAACGAAGGGAATAGTGATAAGGGGGCCATTTCTGTTTACTATAACAGTGTTCTATATAGTGCACCAATGCAGTGAACAGCAATTAGAGCACCATTTTTCCCTACAATAGTGTACTACCTAGTGCTCCAATGTAGGAAAAAGTGGGGACCATTTCAAACACAGCATATGATTGTTGTTCACAAATCTTATGATGAACCTCTTCATTGAGGAAATGTGACACTGCCAGGCCACTCCCCAGCTGTTGTCAGTGCAGACACTCAAGGTGGCCGTGATGAGAGGGGCAGGGCTGGGTGTCAAGTTTAGACGCAATGTGATCCAGCGTCCAGAACACCACAGTTCTCGTGCACACGTTGGCTATTTATACGGAGGGCTATAAATATCGGGGTGCTATAGTATACTCAAAGAGTCATCCTTTTGGAACATTCAGCTAGTCAGCATCACTACATTTATGCCAGCACACCTGCAGCACAAAGTAAAAGAGTGTTTAACTCATAGAAGTGTAGAGGTATTGTTGTTTAACACACCAGATGTAATAATGGAGTTACACAACTTGTTACATAAATGTGGTATGGATTGAAAGAATTCAGACTTCCCATAGAATTGAGTGTTGGCAAAATAATGATTGTCACACCTACAGGCCTGACTTCCTCTGTCAAGTGAAGTGAAAACTCTTCACAACAAACCTGCAGTGAGAACAGCAGCAGCAGTAAATTAGTTAAGCTAAAAGATCATTAAAATTTGAACATGTAATTCTGACACATGCTAATCTGATCATCTGGAAGTGGAAGGGGGTGCCGTTTTAGTTTATTTCTGAAGATGAAAAGGTTTTGGATTAAATATAGACCTCACTCACAGCTCAATGTCCAAACAGCCATATCTATGTTTTCTCTTAGATAAACTAAACTTTATTTAGATTACCATATTTGCTAACACTCATTTTTGTATGAAATCATACTTTAATATGAAGTATAAGATTATAGAAAAATCTTAAGGGCAGCTAACTAAGTTAGCTTTTCTTAGCTTAGCTGTGGAGAGCTTGATAAACTAGTCAGATTGAACAGGGCTGTACACTTATGTTAATGGTAATGTTATAGCAATCGCAAGTATGCCATCATTTGTATTATTTTATTAAAGTTTGCTAATAATTTGCTGAATTGAACATGTTAAAAAAGTTTTATATTTTATGTTTTAGATTTTTAAAATATATTATAACAGCAAATAAACAGAAATTGTGCACTAAATAATATTAGATTAGATTGGATTAGATTAGACTAGATTCATCTTTATTGTCATTGTGCAGAGTACAGGTACAGAGCCAGTGAAATGCAGTTAGCATCAATCAGAAGTGCATATAAAGTAAAATACAAACTATTTACATATGAAGTACAGGAAAGTAACCATGATAAGTGATGCTGTGGTTACAATATGTACAATTAAGGATTGTAAAGTGGTAAAGAATATAAAAATTGCAAGTATAAATACAATATACTTATCTACAGAGTAAGTAGAGAGAATGCAAATGTAGGTAGTATGTAAAATGATAAGTATGCAAAGTAAAAACTTGTGCAGTAACTGTCTGGGCAAATAAGAATAACACAGTAATAGACTGCAGGGGTGCTCAAACTTTTGCATACAACTGTAAAAGTCAAAATAAGTCCTCCTCAGCACTCACTAGCTCCAGCATTAGCTTTAGCATTAGCTCAGTCGCTCAGACTGCCTCCTTATTAGCATGAAAACCTGACACTTTAGCTGAGTGGCTAAAGATCTGTCTGGTTTTATTAACGTAAACATGGTTTCCAGGCAGCATGTCTGCACGAACATCTTGTAAAGTCTGTAATCAGTTAAACAAGTGCTACAGAAGCTGCTAGTTAGCCTGAGCTGAAAGTTTGATGAACAAAAGTAACTCAGGGAGTCGTCAGAATTTGGCAAAAGGTCACAGAGCAACATGTGAGAGATAATTAATATGAAATTACAGCCTGTTTTATTTATTATCAGAAATAGCCATAATTTCTAAGGGCTAACATTAGTAGCCTTCAGGTCAGTCACTAACATAAACACACAAACTGGTCTGAGTGACCAACAGAAACTAGTCACACCCACCTCTTACACACAAACACACCCTCTAGAGAACATGCCCACGCTATCTGGACAGTGCAGTCCTCAGGGTCAGAGTGTGGGTGGTCTTATCAGGCCTGTCCTGCCCTTTCCACGCCACACAAACTCAAGCAGCGTGCCAGAACTGAGGGCAAACAGCAGTGCGGTCAGTGATGATGCAACAGAGCTGTTGTGAGCTGTGTGAGAGCGTAACACATCAGATGTGGAATAAACTCTCACTGGTGGCTCAGAGACACACGCTGCCCATCACAGTCCCTGTGCATTTACAGGAAATAAACCTTCAACATCACTAATCCTGATGGGGACGTAGGGGGGTGGGGGGATTAGAGAACACACACACACACTCACACACACAAACACGAGAGAGAGAGAGATTCCTTCTCACACATGCACATACACTGCAGGGATGTTGACACAGCAAGGCAAAGAAGAGGGTAGAATATATTGAAGGGCGAGTGTCATAGAAAGACAGAGAGACAGAAAGAGAGAGAGAGAAAGGGAGGGGGAAATAGTAAGACAAGACAAAGACAGAGAGATAGAGAGAGAGACAAAGAGGGAGAGAGAAACAGGAGGGGTAGAGACAAAGAGAGGGAGAGGAAAGAAGAGAACAGAGATAGGGGGATAGAGAGAGAAGAGGAAAGTAAGACAGAAAGAGAGAAAAGGAGAGATGGAGAAGGGGAAGGAAAAAGAAAGAACATGAAGGCGAAAGAAAAAGTGAGTGAGAAAGAGAGAGAAAGGGGAAAGAATGAGACAAAGCAGAGAGAGAGAGAGAGAGAGAGAGAGAGAGGTAGAGCGGGAGAGAGAGAGAAAAGAGAAAGAGAAGGGATAGAAAGTCAGACAGAAAGAGAAAGAAAAAGTAAGAAAGAGAGCAAGAAAGAGAGAGAAAAGAGAGAAGGAGAGATGGAGAATGGGAAGAAAAGAGAAAGAAAGAGAATGAATGAGAAAGAAGAAGTCAGTGAGAGAGAGATAGAGAAACAGAGAGAAAGGGGAAAGAGTGAGAAAAGAGAGAGAGAGAGGAAAAAAGTGAGACAGAGAGAGAAGGAGAGATGGAGACAGGGAAGGAAAGAGAATCAAGGGAAAAAAAGTGAGTGAGAGAGAGAGAGAGAGTAAACCACTACAAAAAAGGCTGCTTGTGCATCAAAAGGCCATTACATAATAAATAAGTTCATCATGAAAATAATAACGAGAGAGAGAGACATACTGTGAGATAAAGAGAGTGAGCGATAGAGAGAGTGAGCAATAGAGAGGGTGAGCGATAGAGTGAGCATGACGTAGGCACATTCTCACCAGCCAATCAGGCGTGATGTTGCACTGCGTTTTCCAGAGAACCCCAGAATCCCCTAATCTCGCACCTGCCAACTCTAATAAACACACACTCACTAAACTAACACACATCATTAAATTAACCCCTTAAACTCTACAGACCCGTCAGCAGCTCCACATTCCAGCTCCTCATCCTTATAATCACACAACCTACACAGCACATTTACTGAATAACATGCCTTCAGATTAATGACTGGATTATAGTTTTCAGATTAAGGGGTTAACAGAATTACACCACCGCAAACCCAAAACCCCCCGCTGGTCCTCACACGCCATTTTAAATCCCCATCACGATGCACCGCTGATTATTTCAGCTCATCCCTCCGGCCATCTTTACCATTCGGTTACATAATCCTAAAGCGAGCTCTGGTCAGGACGACCAGAAGGACCGTTCAGTGGATGGATTGGACCCAAACTGGACTGGGGTTTAAATGTATATTGTCGCTTTCGAGGGTGATATGGTTGTTATATAATTATATGAGACATGATATAATAACATAACATCTGTCTGCTGTGGGAGCAAAACCTCATACCTTCATTTTTGTCATTTTTCAATTTTGACATAATTTGAAAGTACCCATTGCTCCATGTGAATTTCATGATGAATGGGCCAACAGAAATGACCCAAAATTACTTAGATAAATGTCTGGTTCCATTGACATTAAAAGTAGAGTATGTTTTTCCCTTCTCCTGTAAAGTTACTATTTTGGAGATACAAAGTTTTGATCTGACAACAGCGATACATACATGATATACATAATACAACACATAACACTAATGTACTTCATTTGTTTAACTGTTAATGAAAGCAGCTCTAAGGATTAAAGAGTTAACGTTTTAGTGCTTTGTACTGATGCATGCCCACAATATTACATAATTTAACTGGACTTGGTCAGTACATGAAGCTGGATGTGGACAGAAAACACTGCACTGCAAAAACAACTTGTTAAATATACTTAAATATATTTAATATCTCAAATATTTATCATTATGAGGTTGTTGTTAGAGTAATATAAGATTTTCTAACCCATTCCTAGACATGTCTGCTTGTTTCAAGTCATTTTATTGAGCAAAATTATCTTTATTTCAAGCATTATTCTCAAAACAGGCAAATCTGCCAGTGCATTACAATTGTCACTACATAAAATGACTCAAAACAAGTAAAACTGAGTAGAAATGTGCTGAATAATCGTATAATATTCTCACAACAGTCTCGTAATGAGAAATATTACATACACTGACTGCACTGAAGACGCCTTCACTCGCCAAAGTGTCTTTGGTCTGCAGTGTTGAGCGGGACAGGACATCAACAGTGGACGTGGACAGACATGGAGAACTCACCATTTGTCCAGATCAGCCTTGATTGTCTCACAGGCGGCAGGGACGGGGGTCTCGGCGGGAGCGGTGGTCTCTGAGTCTGACATGTTCTATTGCACTGTGTGTATGTGTTATCGTGTGTCCTCTGTGTACTCTCCTGAAAGAGAGAGAGAGAGAGAGAGAGAGAGAGAGAGAGAGAGAGAGAGAGAATGAGGGAGGAATGAGTGCTATTGGCACAAGGGAGGAGGGAGTGTTCAGAGAGGGAGGGCACACATGTGTACATGAGAGAGAGAGAGAGAAGGAAAAGAGAAAAAGAAAGAGGGGAGAGAAAGCAGGAATGAGAATGAGTGCAAAAGAGAGCTAGAAGGAGAGTGAGAGCTAGAAAGAGAGCTAGCACGAAAGAGAGACAGAGAGAGTAAGAGCAGCAAAGAGAAAGACTGAGAGAGAAAGAAAAAAGCAAGAAAAACAGAGTGAGAGCAACAAGAAGACAGAGAAGGAAGGGAAAGAGAGAAAGAGAGTAACAGATAACAATAAAGAAAGATGGAGCAAATAAGAGAGGAAGAAAGAAAGACAGAGAGAGAGGGGGAGAGAGAGAGAGAGAGAGAGAGAGAGAGGGAGGGAGGGAGAAAGAGAGAGAAAGGAAAAGGAAAGAGCAAGAAAAAAGAGGTGAGATGGTGATCAGTTTTTAGTAAGGTGTGGCCACAAATAAATATACTGAGGCCAAAAGTTAAGTTTCTCATAACTCATGGTCTCAATATAATAATTTGTGGCCTCAATATATTAATTTGTGGTCTCAATATATTAATTTGTGGTCTCAATGTAGTAATTTGTGGCCTCAAAATATACATTTTGTGGCTTCAATATATTAATTAGTGGCCTCAATATAATAATTTGTGGCCTCAATATAGTAGTTTATGGCCTCAACATATTAATTTATGGCTTCAATATGTTAGTTTGTAGCCTCAATATATTACTTTGTGGCCTCAATATAATAATTTGTGGCCTCAATATATCAATTAGTGGCCCCAATATAGTAATTTGTGGCCTCAATATATTAATTTGTTGCCACGCCTTATTAAATAATAAGCACCATGTCACCTTAGAGGCTCTGTAGAGAAGAGAAAGACACAGAAACAGAGAAAAAGGTGTGTGGTGGGGGGGGTTGGGTGGGGGGTGGTTCATGTTCAGCTCGGACATGCTGAAGGCCCTCAGTGTAGAGAGTAAACAGTCTAAGGGAGCAGCTAAAGCCCAAAAAGATCATTAAAACAAAGCCTGAATGTCTGAATGTGCAGCTCTGTATGAAGTGCTGAATTCCGGAGCACACAGCGTCAGCAGGGGGCGGTATTCAGACCCCGCAGAGCAGAAACGCTCCACTCTTCACAGGTGGGAGACAGACATGTTTGAGCTGCACACGCGCGCCATCTGCTGGCGCCGGCCTGTCATTACAGATGGAGGAGCACCCTCCCCTTTAACCTCCGCATGTAGGAGCACAGAGTACAAAGTCTTACAGACACGGAGCTGATTGGCTTCTTCTCCGCACTTTCCGTTCCACCTTAAATGGTGCAGATGTTGGAGTTTTTATTTCCTCGTTTATCAGACACCAGCACTAAATCTGACTCAGTGTGTTCTTGTCATTCAAATGTTGGTTCCACTGCTATTCTGTTCTACAGAGAAACGTGTCGAGATCTCTGTCTGCGGTAATGAGCCGTTGTGTAACCGGGCTGTGACGTAACGCAGCTCATAAAAACACAGAAATCTGTTTGTGTTCTGTGAAAGACTCAGAATCAGGTCTTCACTGAGCGCTTCAGACCCAAATTCAGAGCAGACAGAGCCCAGCTCCGCTCTCAGAGCGAGTCAGACATAATGCTGAAGCTGCTGAGACGGTGACACATTTTATGGCAAACGCACTAGAAAAAAGCAACAGATACACTGCACTGTAAAAAGGTTAACTGACTGACTGACTGACTAACTGTCTGACTGACTAACTAACTAACTAACTGACTAATTAATAGCCTTTCCTAATTTTTGTTTCTGAAGCTTTTACTTTTTGTAGTGGTTCCTCTGAATCACCTCTGAATTACTTTTTTAGCATTAAAGTGAAGAAACAACCAAACAAACACTGTCCTCCAGTTTTTGCTTCCACACTGAATTGCTTATATATTACATTTCTTGGTGTTGAAGTTCACAAACGAACAATTAAGAAAACGAAAAACCCAAACAAACAATAAACAAACTCTGGCTTTTTCCATCTTCGCTCCCAGAATGTTTACTGTTTGTTGATGTTTCCCTGAAATACTTGTATTTTATTTTCTTGGTGTTTGTGTAAATGAATGAATAAATGAATGAGTGAATGAATGAGTGAATGAGTGAGAGAATGAATTGATGAAAGAATGAATTGGTGAATGAATGAATGGCTGAGTGAGTGAGTGAAAGTGAGTGAGTAAATGAATGGATGAATGAATGAGTGAAAGAATGAATTAATGGATGAGTGAATGGGTGACTGAAAGAATGAATAAATGAATTGGTGAAGAGAATGAATGAGTACAGATCGAATGAGAAAATGAATGAGTGACTGAATATGTGAATAAATGACTGAACAAGCAAATGTATGAGTAAATGAATGAATGGATGAGTGAATGAATGGATGAGTGAGTGAATGCATGAGTGAAAGAATGAATAAATGCATTTGTGAAAAGAATGAATGAATGAAAAATTGAACAAGCAAACGTATGAGTAAATGAATGACTGGATGAGTGAATGAATGAATAAGTGAATGAATAACTGAATGAAAGAACGAATGAATACATTTGTTAAAAGAATGAATGAGTGAGACTGAATGAGCAAATGAATGACTGAATAAATGAATGGAGGCGTGAATGAATGAATACGCGGATGAATGACTTCCTGAAAGAATGAATGAAGAATGAGTGAGTGAATGAATGCAAGAATAAGTGAATGAATGAATAAAGGAGTGAGTGAATGGATTTGTGAAATGATGGATGAGTGAAAGAATGAATGAGTAAATGAATGAATGACTGAGCAAATGAATGAGTGAGTGAGTGAGTGAACATCCAGCAGATGGCGCTGTTTCACAGCTCTCACTCACCCAGCTGTGCTCACTCATCACTGCCCAGCTGTGCTGAGGAAAGACGAGCTGTGCTGCACTGGAGCTTCAGAAAGCCGAGTGGTGGTGACAGTGAGTGAAATAAGCAGCGCTGCAGTGCTTCATACACACCACACTAAACCTCCTTCAGGTGAAGGTTAAAAAGGTCAAAAACTGCAGCAGCTGGAAGAGGAAGACTTATCTGGCTCCGCCCCCTTCACACACTGTTTAACACACGAACTGAAGTCTCAGATAGCTGTGCAAGGTATTACACACCAACAGAGCTGCACACGTCTAAAAGAAAGTCATTTAGGATCAACCATAAGCTGCACAACTCCCTGTTTAACATATAACACACTGTCTGGGTGCAGAACTACACAGAGATTAGAGCCGTTTAAGACACAGATTAACAAACTGAAGAGTGCTGCTCATTTTAGGATACACAAAACAATTAATCAACAACATCAAAATGCATGAGTTAAAGGTTTCACCCTTAAAACAAGTGGTTCTTTAAGGGTTCTTCAGAAAAAAGCAATGGTTATATAGAACCATGACAACTCAAAGAACCATCTGAATTCATAAATGGTGCTTTTATTGCTTATGGCTCACCAGAAAGTCATAAAAAGCTTTATTTCGGTTATATGTAACATGCTAGGAGCTCAGATTATAAAACTAATAATAAACTAAAAAAGTTTTATGTTGTCTGTAAACATTGTTTCAAAATGTACTGTAGGCCATATATGGAAACTAAGCTGCAAAACAACCATTTTTAAATTCACTGCTTTTGTGATGTCACAAAAACCAACGCGTTTACTTATACCCGCCCATTCGGCCAACAGCGTTTAGCCCCGCCCACTCAGATTAAAGTTCTTAGGACTGTTTCAAAACTGGACTGCTTTTTGAATGAGGCCCAGCCAATCAGAACAGAGCTCATTTATATACATCAGTCTTAAAGGCACAGTAACAAAAACAGCCTGTTTAATTCTGAGGGATAAAGAGAGGATAGAAAATGGTTATTATAACTGCTTTTGGTTCATAAACCTACACAAACAGCTAAAAAATGCAAAAACTTAGGATATGGGCTCCTTAAAAACTTTTAAAAATGTTTTTAAAATTAAAAACTACCACTTGTGTTATACATTCAGTAATTTCTCTTGATCATGGCATTTATGCATAGAAAAAGATGACATAATCCAATAAGTAAGCACTCGAATCTCATTATATCTAATAAAACAGAACTAAAGCTCAAACCTGTGCACTCAGTAAAGCTGTCTTTGCTACTCTGCTTCATATTGCGTGCTATTAGACCTGCATGCTTGACCCCTGCATGTCTACAGCTCACCTTCACTCACAGGACATTTCTCAACACTTTAACAGTGTTCTGACCACTGACCTTGCACAACAGAGCTTTCAGTAACTTCAAGAACTGGACACGTCCCAGCTTTAGATAAAGAAGAGAGCTTTTAAAGAAAAGTGCTTTCAAAGTTGCCACAGAAAATGGAATAAAGTGAGGGCACAACCCCACATCACTCCTCCGTCTGCGAGCACACTGTGTTCCCAAACATGCAACTCACATTCAAATTCATTTAAAACAACACTCAACCAGACAAAATCCCCCTTAAATTAAATTAGCATGAAATGTCAATTACTGTACCTGTGCTGTGCTGGACAACTGGCCCGTACGAGTGGAGGCGGGAAGAGTGAATGAATAATTCCTGACCGCAGAGCCACTCTTATGGAGAGAGCGCAGTGCTGCCCCTTCTAGCTGGGGTGGGTGAGCACACTTGAGGGAGGGAGAGGCTCTAAGGTGGAATGCATCTAGACGCGGGAGCTGATTAGATTACATACACTCTGTGTTTGTTGTTTGTGGTTCTAAACCTGTCAGGACAAACAAACAAAATACCAAAATCAGGACTGCACTCCTTAGAAGAACCACTTTTGGTTCTTTTCAGTGGATGGTTCCTGTAGGAAATGAGATAAAACCTAGGTTTAAAGAATTTCCATGCAATTCTAAGCCAGTTAAAGGGCCTATATCCCACACTGTTCTTGTATTTTATG